ATCATCCAGGTTCAGGGCTGTGATGGAGGAAACAAGGCAGCGGCCATTTTGAAGTTGGGCAGTTTAACAGCTTTTATGCTGTTTAACACCTGGGAATAATTTGAGCTTTTGACGTTGTTTTCGTGCTGCATGTTTTTTGTAGTCACTGCGCTAAACGATGCCTCCAAACAGATTTCTATCTCAGGAACCATTAAAGGTTTGGATTTCATTCACCCACCGTTTCTATCAGAAGGGGAATGTTTCTGTCCTTTTAGGTTTTACATGAGGTTTTTTTTCTATTTTTTTAATTTTTATTTTTTTACATTGCATGGGATATATTACTGTAACCAGCATGCTAGTGGTAGCCTATTTGCTATCATTAGTATTTTAGCTAGTTTTAGGTGGGGTTTTTTTTAGCTAATTTTGGCTTTTACCTGGGTTTTTCACACTGCATGCACTATTTTTTACTTTTCTGCAAGTCTTCATCAGTCGCCTTCAAACGCTTTTGCCATTTTCACCAAAAGCTTTCAGCATTCACACTTACATTTTAATAGGAAATGCACACTTTCTATTTAAAGTTATATTTTCCATTTTTATTTGATGAAGAGCAGCAGGACTGATCTGTGGTTTTCTCTGTCAAAGTCAGGAAAGTTCTCTCTATTTTAGCGTTTCCTTCACTAAAAGCCCAAGCTGTTTATCTGATTTAATAATATCTACATGTTTTTCATCAGGATCCATTATGATGGTGAAATTGATCCTGCATCACTGCTGGTTCTGATTCTTTGGTCATTATAACTGATATCAGGAGAACAAACTAACATCAGTTTAGATGAAGAGCTGCTGGACATTAATGAGGAAATCTAGATGGTATAAATCTGTGGCTTTACGTCTTAGCATCTCTCTGGGCCTTTCCTCTGGTTGTCAGACTGTTTTCTGGTTTTGGTTGCTGAATGTTAGGAAACATTTATTCTGGGTAGTTCATTCATTTTGATCATTAAAGTCATTGTCATAAATAGATATTCATATCATCATAAAGTGTTTCTTCTAGGCATTCCAGTTTTAAAGTATGATTTATTTTGTTACATCTATAAAATCCGTGGTACGACAAAATATCTCTCACTGTGCATCACTCTTGATATATAGATACATGTCACCCTGCTCTGAGGAACATGCTAAACATGCTAAACGCCAAAAATCAGAGATCAGTTTTTAAGACGGGATCTGAACAGAAAATGTTTCATCAGGAAGAAGCAGTTTATTGTGAGGCTGTAAATTTGCTCGGTTTTTATCTATGAACTGAACTTTAAGGCAGTTCTAGTTCAGAAGGGGGGGACATGACCCCCGCCAGGAAATCCAGATCTGTTCTGTGAATGAGACTCCAAAGAGGAACCAAAACTGGAAAACTACTGAGAATTCAAGTCGTTTTCTAAAAGTCACATCATGAAGTTTATGTTGTTCTGAGAGCAATTAGAAGAGAACAGATTTATTTATCATTGATTTGATTAAACGTCAAACTGACACAAAGACAAAGACGCTAGAGGCTCTGAAAACAGCTTTAATGAACTTTGGGTCTCACCTTTAGCAGAGGAGTCAGAGGACAAACCCAGCTCATTGGACAGAGTCGGATCTATTTGATGAAGACGTTTGATCATCAATCTGCAGGCTTTCTTTCCTTTTTTCTCCACGGCATCTATGGTGTTGCGGGCCTTATCAGCCCTACTTTTGTACTTGTGCAGTATTTCTTCTTTCTCCAAATGTTTAAAGACGTCATCCGATACAAGACCATCGAAGAGCTGACAAAGGATTTCCTCAGAAACTCTCTCCACAAACTCAATGCGAACCTTGAAAAGTTTTTCCTCTGTAGGCAGAAATCAGAAACATAATTAATTCAAACCAACGTCTGAGAGAAAAACGTGATGAAGATCAACTATTCATGTTGCTCCATCCAGAGATTCAGA